TCCGCTTGCCTCTTGCCGCTTGCCGCTTACCTGTTTACCTGTTTATCTGCTGCCTTTTACCTGTTTCGCGCCGCTCGCTGCCCGCCTTTTGCCCCATTTCACCGTTGCTCACATTTGCAGCAGGCAACATGCTGCAAGCTGCATTTGGACCCCGCTTCGCATTTGCCTCCCGTTTTTTTCCGTCTTTCCTTCGAATGGGGTATCTACAATTTAGCGCGTGCCACGATCAGTCACTCTCCGAGTGAGCGAGTGTGCGAGTGTGCGAGTGTGTGTGTGTGTTGCCGCTTTATAATTAACTTGACTTTCGGCTTGTGCAGCATCCAAATGCTACAGTTGCCGCAGCTGCAAAATCGACTCGTCCAGATCCTGCCCGAAGATCAACAGCTACAGAGGAAGAGGGTGCACGACGTGAAGATGCCCTAGACTCTTCATATCAACTGTTTGTCCTTTATATATATGGCAGATAGATCTTTTAGTTATAGATATCGATTTTTATCCTATCCCTTTGCTTCCTCTTCTGCTTTTGATAGATATATTCAGTTCTTAAAGAGGAATCTACTTGGCCTACGATGAGTTGAGAGCAAGTATAAGCATGCTCGCCTTGTAGATACTCGATGCATTAGTTTATTCTTCTTCTACTGCCTCTTCATTGAAAGCTAGGAACCAACTTGGGCTTTATTTTTATTCTATATCAAAAATCAACAAATCGAAGCGCGCTGAACTTGCAGATACCCTACACATGCACTTAATATACTCTTTTAATGGTTAGAGATTGCACATTAAAACCGAGCACCAAGCTAGATTTGGAGCTTCTTCATTTTAAGAAACAATCTCACTCTAAATGAAACCAATCCTGAATCAACCTCAACAAGCAAGAACTATAGATACCCTAGCATCCTCATAGCATATTCACATATTCATAGACAGACATTTCATATAGTTTAAGACAGATACAAAACTAATATGCTCAGCTGTTAGGCGCACAAAATTTGACAGTCATAATTAAAGTTCTAAGTCTGAAAAGAGTGAAATGAAACATTGAAGCATCATCCCCAAGCACTTCATCATTGTTTATGGCTTGAGCAGGAGTACGCCCGTTTCGAAAATCTGCTGGACATGGTTAACGGCATTAGACACACCTTTCGGCCAGGGCTGTGAGCCCATTTAACGCGCATAAACAATTCTGAATCCATATGCAGCGCTCCCTCACCCCTCACATCTCAGCATTATGCACATCATCAAACCAATTACGCATCCAATTATGACTAAATAGACGCACCTTTTTTTGTGCCTGGAGAGAGAGAGCCTTCGAGAAGTGGAGGGATGGAGGTAGAGACACACGCCCACGCCGCTATCAAAAATCATTGCGTAACTAGGCGCTGACCAGAGCAGAGCAGCGTAAAATGAGGAGCAGTCAGGAGCTAAAAAAAACCAAAAAAGAACAAAAAGATGGAAGGAAAAAACATCTGCCAGATATGTAGCCAGACCCTGGACCCAGGGACAAGCCCTTGGCCAATCTGTCGACAGCAACTGGCGTTAAAAACGGCGAGGGTTGCCACACTCACACCTCGACAGAGCGAGGACGGCGGGGGCTTAGAGTAGAAGACGACGCGACGCTTAATCAATACGTGGCCATAAATCAGTAGGAGCTAACAGACAGCGCCACACGACTCTTTGCATACCCTGTAAATGACAGACGTGAGGAGTAATAAACATATTCAAAGATACTCGAGTTGAAGCAAGGAAACTCTTGTTTCTGCTGACTATCGATATGTGTATATCGATTAACAATAGCTTAAGGCATATCAGATACATTATAATACATACTATATTTTGTTTAAATTTGCCACTAAATGACAAACTAGCCTCACCAATTGCTGCCCTTTATGCTTGCTATATAACTTTGAAATATCGATAATTATCGAATTTTGTTAGGCATTTGATTGTATGCTTAATCTACTTAATTTACATAATATGTATTAAAATATATATACTATTGTATATTTCTTATATATGTATACTATACCATACTACTGTATATTTTTATCGATAAAAATCGTTTTGAAATTTACATAAACTTTTATGCTTATATACATAGTCATAGACTTCAGAACACTAAACACGTATTTTCTCTTTGCGAATGCACACTTAGAGGGCAACTGCTAGTCGAGCATGCCCCACTGTTCTGCATTGCCGTGTTCTCCTTTCGATTGTTCGAGTCTCGTTCTTTGGCTCGTGCTCCTTTTTCAAAGTGGGGCAACCGCAAAAGCAAATGAGGACCCGTTTCTTATCCACATGCCAATGACCTGCTTTGAGGACCCTTCTCGCAGGGCGCACAGCTGCAATGGGTCCTACTAAACTCAACGGACAGCTCAATTCTACAGATCAAAGACCTCCCCCGGCTGCAGTGCAAGAAACTCTTTCAGTTTGTCTATTAATTACACCGAATGGACACTGTGTGCACGAAGGGCAGTAACTTTTTAGCCACTTCGTAGCGCCCTCTAGACTCATCCAGTGATCCAGTGAAGGATGCCCCCGTTTCAGATTTCGCCAGAGACTGTAAATATTTGCACTATAAAAAAAAAAAAACGCGTGCCAATAGCAAAAGTTACGAATCATCGCACGATATCAATAACTAAAGTCCGTAGCCCCTCGACCCACCGCGTTTACCATGCCAACAAGAGCTCCCCATAAGCCACCCTAGTTATATACATACACATATTTGCACTTAGCACCAGAGCGTGAGAAAAGCAAAGTGAAATAAAAAACAGAAAAATTTGATGTTGCGCATTCGGTGTCCGGTTTCCCATGAATAAGATGAATATTTTAGTATTAAATCTATAAAAAAAAATTCGGTTTCGAACTGAAACTCTAGATAGAGCTAAGGGCATAAGAAAAAAGCATACAAGGATAAATATTGTCTAAGCCACTTAATTATTAATTAGAGCTTTTAAGCATAAGATACAGCTGGTAAGTTGTTATATTGTTTGATTGATTGATTGAATGACTGATTGTTTGATTGGTGCATTTTAATCGAGTTGAAATCAAAGCTAAACGCTTTTAAATTATCTATAGAATGGGTTGATTGATTGATTGACTGATTAACTGATGGATTATTAATGCGGAGGTGCAAGGATATGAATATACCATATACCATTAAGAGAATGGAGTTAGATAATGAATAGATATAGACGGATATGGATAACGCTATGGAAGTGACTCAAGACTTCTTCTCTTATCCCTTGCCTTTTCTTTATAGCTCCATCTCTATGTATCTATCAATGCATTTTATTTAGCTATGATCTTTATATTTATATCCATATTAATAGATTTCCAGCAATACCTATAGTTATAGCTATTCGTAGGGGTTTCTTGCCCTCTATTTAGTGGCTGCTGTCTAGAATTCTGGCATTTGGCATCAACATTTTTTATTACCCTAGCTAGCCCGACTCTAACCCCGCCCCCGCCTCTTTTCAGTTGGTTGTAGACCTGATTCTCCATTATCCCTTCCCTCCTCTCGTTGCACATTCCTTTCTGCACACACATACATATATTTCGTGCCCCTTCTTCTTCTTCTGTTTTGTTGTGCTTTTTGTTTGCTGTTTGGGCTGCGCTTAACCCGCCCTCTGCATAGTCTCCCCAGTTCCTCCCGCCTAATGTCTCCTGCTGGCTGTCGCCTGTGCTCTTTTGTGTCCTTTGTGCGCACGCTTTTTATTTATTCAGCAAACAGCTAAAATAACATAAAAAACAACAACAACAACAACAGCAGAAAAACTAAAACAACAACATTAACCGAAAATGGGCGGAAGCCAAACTAAATGCGCCCAACCAAGCGCGCGCCTCTCTCACTCCATGTGTGTGTGTGTGTGTGTGTAGGTGTGTCTACCTGTACGTGGGTGTGTGTGTGTGCATATCTTGTAGATACTTTTTGCCAACCTCACGAAACGTACAGCTGCTGCCTGCCTGGCTGCTGCTGCTGCTGCTGGACATATCGATCCACTCTAAGCACACACACACATACACACACAGTGGTACAGAAGCGTTAAAAAAGCTCTACTCAGCTGCACTTGCTTATCTATTTCCAAAAAACCTGCAAAGTATGCAATAGAAAAAGTAGACAAAATAGAAATTTTAGCGCAATATGAAGGCAGAAGATAATAATGGAAAGATATACACATATTGAAAGATACTTATATATGCAAAGATCAATGAGAGTTGGATTAGTATTTAATATATATATATATATACTTTACATACGTATGTATAAAGTACATGGATTAGTATAGTTATATTAATGTTAAAAAGTTAATGTTATTCACTCATGCATCTATAGAAGAATATATGTATGTATAATAAATAATATAATATACATATTTGACACACTTTTAACCACTGTGCGTGGTTGCGCTGCGCTGCGCCGTGCTGTGGGTGTTTGGGAGGCGCACAGAACTAACGGAAATGCCGCAGCGTCAAGCAGCAAATGTTCCCATCGCTGACATTTTAAATTGCGCTTGCTGGCGCCATCTGGCAGCGGAAATCATAAACTAGCGCTACTCAAACCAAACTCCATCTCGCTCGCACTAGCTGCACTTTGTGGTCTGTTGCGCTGCGCCTAACTGCGTCTCCACTGCCCACTTCTTCGCTATCTCTCTTACTCTCTCTCTCTCTCTTTCTCGGTTTTCAGCCTTGGGCTGGCCACGTCACGCGCCGAATAGCGGATTCATGTTACAGTTAGAATCGGGTAGCAGGCTCTTGCATGGAACGGGAACAGGGACGGAGCGAGGACGAGCAGGGCAAGGCGCAGGTGTCGCACATTTTAGATGAGTTTTTGACCACAGAAAATAATCGATAATGACATTATTGCCGATTATTAATAATTTCTACAAGTGTCGAAACACCACAAGATTTAATTGAGCGAATTAAAAACGTAAAAAAAAAAATACATATTTGAAATACAAAAAATTGTTGGTTTAAATAAATAAATACTTAAATGTCGAAGAAAAAAAAAATGCATTAAAAATTAATTTCGTCGATTTAGGCCTTGCCTTGTTTTAGGCGGTAAACTTCAAATTCGTGCGCTTGCGATTGCCGAATTCGCCGTTTCGCCGTGGCGATTGCTCCGCCGGCTGTGGCTGCTGCGCGGCGCTGCGTCCCAGCAGATTCCAGAACGGACGCGGCGTCGTCGTTGTCGTCGTCGTCACCGGATCCTTGTTGATGTAGATGCAATTGACGATCGGCTCGTCGCCAAAGTATTGCTGGCGATAGCCATTTTGTTGGCGAATCTTGTTGCGGCGACGACGCTGGCGCTGCAGCTGCTGGCGGCGACGCTTCTGCTGCTGTCGGCGGCGACGCTGCGCCTCCGTCAGCTGTGGACGACGGCGCTTATAGCCGCCCATGGAGCCATAGCTGTAGCTGGCACTGGAGCTGGAGCTGGGACGACGGCGTCTGTTGCCCACGCTGTTTGGCCTGCTCTTCCTCTTCTTCTTCTGCTTGGGCTTGGTCTTGCGACGCTTAACGGGCGCGGAGGAGCCGCTGCTGCTGCTGCTGCTGCTGCTGCTACTGCTATTGCCTATTGGCTTCTGCGGTGTCTGATCAACGCTGCTGACGCTGACGCTCTGCTGCAGCTGCTGTTGCTTGTTGTCCTGCTCTACGCCATTCATTGCCTGCAGTTCGTTAGCAGGGCGCTTCTTCTTCTTCTTCTGCTGCTGCGGCTTCCTGCGCTTCTGTTGTTTCTGCTGCTGATTGCGACGCTTCTGTTTCTGCTGCTGCATCTGCGGCTGCTGCTTCCTCTTCTTCTTGTTCTCATTAACTGGTCGCTTGGCCGGATTGACAACGGGTTGCACATCCTCATCATCGCCATCCGTGCTCCAAATGGCCGACGTGCTCACCGGGCTCTCCTCCGTTATGAAGTGTTCGTATTCATCGTAGGGGCCCAAGCCTTGATAATAGAAGCCATCGCTGTCGATATTATCCTCCTCGTCCTCGTCCTCCTCCTCGGCCGCCGCATCCCCGCCCAGAAGCGGTGCACCCGGCTGGTAGTAGGCCTGCTGATTCAACGGCTTCAGCTCGAAGACCGCATGCGTATTGGGATTGACCTTGGGCGGCTCCTGCGACTCGACCACAACAATGCCCGCATCTCCGACCACATTGGCATGGGTCGCCGCATTGGCCACCACGCTGACGCCACCGGGCACCTTCTGTGTGAAGGCCACAAAGCTGCTCTGGCTCTGGCCTGGGAACTGTTTCTGTTGCACTGCATCCACCAGGAACGCCTGTGGCTGCACTTGCTGCACCTGCTGCACCTGCTGTCCCAGCTGCTCGTCATCGGCTTCAGCTAAGACCACTTCCTCGATCTCCAGTTGCTGCTCATCGCCATCGTCTTCGTCATCCTCCTCGTCATCATCTTCGTCATCCTCGTCCTCCGGCTGCTGCAGCTGCACCGCTGCCAGCGCGACATAGCGACGCTTGTTCGAATCCTGCTCCTGCTGCAGCTTCAGCGGCTCCGTCGCTGCGCTCAAGCTCAGCTGCTGGGAGCTAACCGAGATGCTGGGCGCGCTCATCGAGCGACTCGCACGCTTCCTTCTGGTGACCACGCACTGCGATTTGCTGCCCTGGCCACTCAGCTGTCGGCCCTGGATATAGAAGCGCTTCAGCTCGTACTCATCCCCGTTCTCGTCCACCTCGATCCTCGTCTCGCCGTTGACCTCTCGGCTGGCCAATGCCAGCCAGAGCACCGCTACAATCAAGGCCCACACGCAGCTGTGACTCCTCATGGCTCTCGACTAAACTGAGCTACGAGCGGGCGCTGCCGCTTATATTAGTTCGCTGCGAACGCAGACCTATTGACCCAAAGCTAATTGCCAAAATCTTCAACGATCTCCGATCTGCGATCTGAATTATTCATTAGCTTGGACCTTTCACCTCCCTCCGCTCACCTATGTTTGTTGCAGAACCTATTTAGCTACTTATTCATAGTTTGCTTTCTTCTCAGAACTCGTTTTCGCCCAAAAAAAAAAAAAACAAAAAGACCGAAATTTGTTTTTCTCTCTTTTTGACCAGTTGGGGTCAAAGATCAATCAACTATAACCCCCTTGGGACAGACATCGACTGCCAAATTTGGCACATGAAAGTTTTTAGTCAAAGGGCCCCTCGGCGAAATCCCAATCGACCTCTTGACATATGAGCACTAAACAATAAAAATCGCCGCTTGGAAACCATTTTAAGCATCGAAAGTTCGTAAAATTAATGATTCCATTTGTTATGTACCAAAGTGGGCTGGATGCGAGGGCTACCGAGGCCTGAGGCCCAAAGAAGGGCGGTGAACTATTTCAATTTTGATATGTAGAATATGTATTTATGGGGCATTTACTATCCCAACACTATCATCTTTATAGTCGGTATATGACACAGTTTTAAATAAATAGTTTCAGCCCTATTCCGTATTTTCATGGCCAGGCTGACCTAAATTGTACTAGCAAGGTTTTTAATATTTAATACAATTCTTTAAAATCAAAACAAAACATTATCATCTTGATGTTACGCATTTGGGCTAAGGCCAAGTGAAATCCGCTCCTGTTCGAAATAATCGCACAGCGAATAAAAAGAAGAAAAGAAAGCGAATTTTGACCTATGACAGCAAATTAATATTCGAAATGCAGAGATTTCTAGTCAAAGCGACAAACTAATCAATTTATGGCCACATACAAATATTTCTAAATCGGAATCAGAAACTGTTTCTATTTGGTTTTTGTGTGGAGGCTGAACAAAAGGCCGACAAAAAAAAGCTTAGCAAAAGCGGGCATAAAATGCGGCACCGCTTGAACTCACACGCACACATGCCTTCGTGTCAGTGTGTATGTGTATCTCGCTTCCCCCTTCTACTTTCAGCTGCTGTGTGTTTCGTGCTCCTTTCCTCCCGCTTTCATTCGAAGCATTTGCTTTGTGTGTGTGTATGTGTGTGTGACACTCCTTTCTTAGCATTATCCCCTCTCCTTCTTCCCCTTCTACTTTAGCTCTTGCTGCGTGTGTGAGTCTATGAGAGACTACTTTCTCCTTCTCGCTCCCTCCGCTTGACCAAGTGCTGTCTGAGAGTCAGTCAAGCTCCTTCTCCTCTCCACCTTCCACTTTAGGAATTCGCTGTGTGTGTGTGTATGTTTGTGTGTGTATGAGTGGCTGCTGTCTTTACAATGTTCTCTCCTTCAAGCCAATTTAGCTTATGCTATGTGGCCTCTCCTCAGGCCTCCCCCTGCTCCAGCATTTGCTGTCCACTCTTTTGCATGCTAATTATATATCATAAATTTCTGCACACAGCGAGAGCGAACGAGAGCGAGAAAGAATAGCACAATCAAAAATAGCCAAAGATAGTTGGCACGGGATGCCGCATGGTAAGGTGCAAAAGAGGTAGAAGATAGTGGATGGAGGCAGGGAGGCGGTTTATCAAGAAAACTGAACAAAAGATCAATTGACAGAGAGAAATGTTTTGCGGCAGCTGCGCGCAACACTTGAATAATAATAATGTAACAAATATAAAAAGAGGCCATTAAATTACAAACATCTTCAACGGCCAACAAACAGTAGCAACAACAACAATAACCAGCAACGGCAACAGCTTCTATTGGCCTCCAAAACTGATTTGGTATGGAGAAGGTGTCGCCGCGATCGTCATTCAAGAGGGAACCCAACTCGAAGCAGCAGCAGCAGCAACAGCAACGGCAGCAGCAGCAGCAGCAGTCAAGTGCGATGCGCGTGCAGACATGCAACAAATACAACAACAAATACAAGCGACAGCAACTCTGCCCGTCAATTTGTGACGATCGTATCTCTTTAATGTGAATGTAAGTAGAAGTGGGCGAGAGAGAGAGAAAGAGACAGTGTGTGTGTAACGGCAAGCAAACTAAAGCTGCGCTTCTATCGTGACACGATGGTGTATTAAGCCTTTATATTCTATATGTTTGTATGTATGAATAGATACATAAATAATATATAAATAGTTTTAGTACAAATCAAATTCATTCTTTTTTTCACTAAATCTAAATTCGCCTTTCAAATTTATCCTTTACCTAAAATTTCCATGGCTCCTTCCAGTTGCAGCTTGTGCTCGTGCTGCAAGCGACAAAACTTTCAGCACGTGCTCATCCCTAGCCACGGCAAAGCGTAGGCTTGAGCAAAAGGTCACATGCACACACTTACACACGTATAGACTATGTTCGGCGCTTTTGCGTGTGTGCGTGTGTCAACACACTGATTCAAATTTATATGCATACAAAATGCATTCGCAATGCACACACTGTTACTCTTATCGATCGAAATCGATTCAGTGCAGTGTTGCAAAGCTATCAAACGCGGCCTGCATCAAATATTAAGGAATTCAATACAACGAAGAACGAGAAGAGTCGAGGTAAAGCAACAAATCTCAAATAAACTTGCATTAATAATATGAAAAGATACAAGCGAAGCTGGAGGCTGGTCGCAAAAAAGCATAAAAGTGTCAAATGCGAACTCGACTTATTTATTTACTTATTTTTGTGTGTGTTTTCTTTCATTATTGTTGTCTTTGTTATTGCTTTATCGGTGTTCGCTTATGCTAACTACTTTCGCATAGCGGGCACCAACGGAATTTTTAATTAATTCATGCCCTATACTGTTGTGTATGCAAACACGTGCGTGCGTATATGTATGTATGTATGTACGTGTGTGCGGATATGCGTGTGTATATGTGCACATTATGTATTTATTCACAAATCAATAGTAACTGCTACTCAATGCTGGGCAGGAAAAGAAAATAAGCTTTTTACTGGAACTGAAGCTGCAGAAGAATAAATGAGATTCTTAAGAAACCGGCTGAAAAGAAGTCTTGTTTTTTATTTATTTATTTATTTATTTTTTTTTTACTTGCTATTTTTAGATGTATTATGTATAATAATAAATTAAAATCAGAACAAATCCGATTACATCCATATAAAACCAAAACTATCAACACTGTCGCCGTCGCTGTCTCAGTCGTCGCTGCTGCCGCTGCAGAGTTTTGTTTGAGCCAAAGTTTCTTTCATGATTGTATGCATATTTTTTGCTGGGACTGGAATGTGTGGCATGTGGTATACGGCACGCAACGGTAATCAGTGGCCAAGATGGCTGCAACAGCGCCTCAACAACAACAACAACGGCAACTACAGGCAACAAGTTTCATTTTGTGCAGCAAGAAATCAATGCTACTGCACCCAATCAGAATGCAACTACACACATACACACACACGCTCGAGCATGCACTCGCATTGGGATGCTGCTGCTTTGTCTGCTAGCTCGCTCGCACACACGCACGCATTGACCTCCCTCACCCAGCAAAATGGCGGACCATGCACAGTGCACATAAATTTGAGGTTCGCTGGGACATTTTGTTGTTGTTGTCCCAAAAATTGTCTCGGCTGCTGGCAGCCACCGAATATACAGTTATATTGTAAATATGTGCAATAATTCGCACTTGCAAATGCAATGCGACCCAGCATTAATATGCTCAACGCGTTGATTTAATTTATTTGATTATTTGGCTGCCGTGCAGTTCAATCAGCAGCACCTCTCCAAACCGTTACACGCTGCAACTTCGGAACTGGGGGAACAATCCCCCAGAAAAGACCTAAATTTTTCATAAAAATGATTTACTGTCATGAACAATTAATACCTTATGCTCTAGAAATATACATGTATATAAATTATTATCTGACTCTTATATATTTATATCTAATTAATGATACAAAATAAACTTTTAAATTACATAAAATATTCAGATTTTCGCGCCAAACTCCCTTTCGTATATACTAGCGCCATCTACATGTCAATATCGAAAGCAAATATTTAATTGGCGGGCTGTCATTCGATTTGTTTGAATTTGAGGACCTTTGGCTCACGTAATCGAGCAAGATATCGATGCACATGTGTCATATATCGTAAGCAAATATTATGACGATATGTATGCCATATCGATATATTACCATCCCTAGTCCAACGAAGTATTGGGGTGTTTGGAAATGTTCGATATTTGCGTAGAAATTTTCAAAGTAAAACGAAAAACAATGTATTAAAGTTGCAATTAATTACTGCTAAAGGAGTGGTCAACATACATTGCAATCGTGTATCCAAAACGCAAGAAACGCATTCGCATTAGGAGGCGCCAGTGTTAAACTGTGTGTGTGCGAGTATATCCAAACCAAAGAAAAACGAAAGAAAAAGCAAGACCCAGCGCAGAAGATGTGTCTATACTACGGCCTAAATGAATGAAATGTGAAGTGTGTGTGTATATGTAGGCGAAGGCGATACCAGCTAACTGTGCATGTGTGCATGCGTGCGTGTGTATGTGTGTGCGATAGTATGTGTATGCGTATTCGCCTAACGCTCACATCTGTGTGCGTGTGCTTGTGTGCTGCACACTGAAAGAATCAATAAAGGATGTGCTGTGGATTTTTGCAGCAGCAGAACCAGAAGCAGGAGCAGGACCAACGAAAACCAACAAAAACCAAATAAAAAAGCCAACGACAACAAAAACAAAGCACCGCAGCAAAGAACAAATTATAACATTTACTTTTTCGCGATAGTTTTGAGCACAGTAAAGCTTGTAACGGTAAATGTTGCAAAAAGAAAAATTGATAACTGTAATATGTGTGGCTATTGTGAACAGTGAATTGTAAAGCGAAAAAAGAAGTGCGCAAGAGTGCGTGTGCGAAAAGGAAATTAAGAAAACTAACAAAATTAAAGAAAATCGAAATTAAACTTCAGTCAGTCAATCAATCAATCAGCGCAACATGAAGTGCTGCGTAATAATTACAACGCTAATGCTGCTGTCCATTGCACGTAAGTGTTGCAAATCTCATTAAAATACAAATATCTATGTGTGTGTGTGTGGGTGTGGGTGGGTGTGGGTGGGTGGGGCATTGATTGATTGATTGATTGATCGAATAATTGGTCCATTTGCAGGGCACATTGGCACTGTTGAGGTGCATTTCGAAGCACCTGACAGCGGCTTCTTCCTGAAGCACGCTCGCCAACCACCTGTGACGCCGGAGATTGCCAACATCCAGACCTCCTCCTCGGTGCCGCCCCTGAAGTCACGCCCCTCCTATGATTCCGTCTTATCCCTAGATCGCTTTACCGTCGTGGAGACCACACAACCCGTATCTATACGCGCCAGCTACGGCCCGTTCTCGACCAAGCAAACGGTGCCCGCTCGCTACATTGTGCCGGACACCATGGAAACCAATCAAGCGGGCGACTATGTGAACGTAAGCCACCATTGAGTACTAAAGTGTAATTGCTTTTGCCTAACCCGCATCCATCTCTCTTTCTCTCTCCCTCTCTCTCTCTATCTCTCTTTCACTTACATAGAACTCGACGGCCACACTGCTGGAGTTACAGCAGCCGAACATGCACCTGGACATCTCGGCGCACTTGGTGCGCGCTAGTGTCTCGCAGGACTCGCCAGTGCTGCGCGTCCTCTTCCATGCTGGCGCCGATCCGGGCGGTCATTTGCAGCGACAGAAGGTCTGCGTGCTGCTCCACGTAGCCATGCCCAATGAGCAACCGTTGAAGGGACGTTGCATGCCCGAGGGAGAGGACGGCGTTTGTGTGGCTGAGGTAGTCATTCCACTGAACTGGTGGCCAGCTCTGCCAGCGCCTAGGCACAGTCGCGAGGGCAGCGGCAACAGCGGCACGGACGGACAGCCACAGCTGCCGCCTAAGGTGCCGCAGCGTTACGCCCAGGTCTCCTACAGCGTCTTCGAACCACCAGTGCGCAATCCGGAGCAATGTGAGCCGAAGGTCCAGATACAGCCGCTGACAACGTTTGCCCAGGTGCCGCTGCTGGCAGCGAAGACATCGTTCAAAGAGCTACGAGCGGATGATTCGGTTACGTTCCTGTTGCCCCAGCATCCCCTGTATCCCATGTCCAAGTTGCACGTGCCCGTCTTTTTGCATCAGTATGCGGATCAGGAGCAGCGTGTCGCTGCGTTTACAGTGCGCGCCCGGGTCAAGGCCGGGCTACGCATCTTGGGCGCCAGCGCCTCCAGCGACCAGTGGAGCATTAGCATTGAGAAGGAGAATCCCAAGCATACGACGGCGCGTGTCACAGCCTTCCGCAAGGAGGTCGACTCGTCCGCCTCATCCTCGGCCACATCCAGCATGGAGAACAGAGGCAACTACAACAGCAGCGGCAGCAGCAACAGCAATGAGGTCTACGAGGTCTTCTCCTGGCTGCTCGAGGTCGCCGATGACTCCAACGACATTGTCGATGGCGGAAAGATCGTGTGGTCGGTCACCCATGTCTATGACACACCCAAGGACAAGGACTCCGCCGAGCTGATTGCCACAGATGACACAAAGAAGCGCTTGATTGCCAAGCTGGAGATCAACAAGGATGACATTCAAGCAGTATTGCCCATGGCCAAGATCTGGGAGGTGATGAACACAGCAGTGCTCACTGGCCGCCAGGTGGCGCAGGCCATGAAGGTCTTCATTGTCTCGCAGGCGGGCAAAGTGGCTGATGTTACCCTGCAGAGCTCCTGTCATGCCGAGGACGAGAGCGTCATCAAGGTGAAGTCAACGAAAGCGCGAAAGAGAGAAGAGAGTTAAATGTATTCTCATCTTATACGTTATTCCCATTTGTTTAGGTCTCCTCGTCGTGCAGCTCCGTTTATGTTGATGGCTCCGAGCAGCGCGGCTCGTCCAATGCGTCGGTCATTGTTAAGTATGGTACCTATGTGGGCGTGGCCAAGTTCATTGTCTGGATGCCCGAATTTCCGCTTGAGGTTTACATAGCCGACTTTCGTCTATCCCAAATCAAGGGCTGGAAAGTAGCCGATGACAGTCATTACCTGTAAGTGTGTGACGAGTAGACAACCGTTAGAAAGTAATGATAATAGATAGTCTTAAGCAATTCAGCGAGAATCAATACCATGGAGTAGATTCTACACAGCAACGAACAACGAATTAATTCTCCGATTTTCACAGACACAACAAGCAGTCGAGACGTCGCAAGAAGCGCTCGTATATGTGGAACCAGCACGGCACCAGCTACTACAACAATGTGGGCGCCGACAAGAGCATCTGCCGCGCACGCTACCAGCAGAGCCCTGTGGAGGTCTACGCCAAGTTTCTGGCCATCGATCAGGTGAGCAAGTCGAATCTCCATGCCCCAAGCAAACCGATCTACATGCGTGTCTCTCGTCTCGACAGAACTCTGGGCGCACCAGCTACTTCATTTCACGTCGAACTGGACTGCGTGTGACGGATCTGGTGCAGCCGCTGCTGCGTGTGGCGGATCCAAAGATCGCCTCGCTGAAGGGCCGCATACTGCAGGGCAAGTCGATGGGTCGCACCGATGTCCAGGTGCTGTCGCCTATTACGGGCCGTGTCATTGGCACCAAGGAGATACGCGTTGGCAGCGACAAGGTGAATCTCTCCCGTCTCATTGTGCGCGTCATCTCCGGACTACAGCTGACCATTACGCCGGAGAACGCCATCGAGAACGGTTATCTGGCAGAGACGTCCGTCACACACAAGCTGACGGCACAGTATCAGGAGGGATTGCTGGACATCGATCTGGAGTTCAACGATGGCTCGAAGACGCCTTTGCGGTAAGCGATCAATCAGCTTCACTGATGCGTGCAGTTGTTTGCAATTGCTGACTCTTTGCAGCGACATTGCTGTGGAGGATTACTTCCTGCTGGTGGAGAGTCTCGATACGGAAGTGGTGGCCTTTGCCCCCATGCTCGCCTCACATCATCCGCGTGTCATTGCCGTGGGCGAGGGCAATGGCAATCTGCTGCGCGTTACGCTTCTGCTCTCCGAGGAATGTCGCATGCGACGCGGCCCTGGCGGCTCCTCATCGAGCAGCTCCAAGCCGAACAAACCGAATGCGGCCCCATTAGCCAGCGCCCTGGCCTCCATCGAGGTGGACTTCAACAATGTGGACATTGTCAGCAAACAGGAATCGATACAGAACGACGGCACAGTGGGACGCGAACGCAAGAACTACCGCAACACGGGAGACCTGGCTGACATTATAGGTAAGCGCATTCATCCATTCAGCTCCTCGGCTCGTTTTACTAACGATCTGCTCCGACTAGTTGGCATACCGCTGCGCGACTCCAGCCAACAGTACGAGCCGACGGTGCAGGCGCGTCAGCACCGGGCGAGCATCCAGGCAGTGCACAAGTCGCACTACGGCAATCGGGGCGGCTTGGGCAGTGGCAACATGTCCTCCATGGAGCTGGGCATGTATGTGCTCCTCACAGCCTTCTGCTTTGCCATTATTGTGTTTGTCATCTCGTGCGTGGTTTATGCATCGAAATTCCGGCCAGCCATGATTGAGTCGGGTCTCGATCCGCTCAGCTCCGGCAATGGCAATGGCAACGGCAACGCTGGCGGCTTCCGTGACGTACGCCTCAAGGAGTCCACCACCAATGCCCACGACTGGGTCTGGCTGGGACGCTCCACCATCGATAGGCATTCGGTGGCAATGAACGACACCAGCACTCCGCAACCTCAGCCGCAGCAGCAACATGTGAATGCACGCGGTAAGCTCCAACCAGCTGCACATAATCCCCCACAGAAATAATAATTATAAAATGGATTATTCTGCCCTTTAGACTCTCGCATGCGCATCACCAGCAATCCGATCATCAACTACGACAATGGCCGGCGCGTCAGCTCCTTTGACCAGCCGCAGCCCAAGCTGCAAACGCACATCGTGCCCGCCTCCAATCTAAACAAGATTCATGCCGAACAGTAGGTGCACCCAAGCCACATATTTGAATGCAACTAACCAGCTTTCGTCTCCCCAATCAGCTATCTCTCCAATGACCGGAAGGACGCTGCCCTGGACTACAAGCCTCCAGTGCCGCCGCACCGCAATGTGGGCACACGCGCCATGTTGCCGCCACAGGCTGCACCCGTTAAGGTAGAATCTGAGAGAAGCTGTAACATCTTGATAGCTAATCTTAATTGTTTGTTTTCTATACTGCAGGACAAGGAGTTGATCAACAAACGGCACAGTCAGCTCTACAAACGCGAGCATTTGCAAAACAACGAGAACAACAATGCGACGCAGCAACAGCCGCATTTGTCGCTGCAACAGCAACAGCAGCAGCATCAGGCGCCGCAGCAACAGCCGGAACGTCAGCCAATGCATCAGCATCACCCGGAGCGTCAGCATCAGCGCAGCCACAGTCATAGCCACAATTTTATCCAAGAGCCAGCGCTCAGAGCCGCACACTTGAAACTCAAACAGCATCAGCAAATGCAACAGCAGCAGCAACAGCAACAGCAGCAGCAGCAGCAACAACAACACGAGGAGTTGCACAATGCTGAGAAGCTAGTGGAGTACACAAATCCGCATCAGAAGAATGCATTTCAATTCGATTCGCTAACACCAAAGAGAGTAACCAAAGCAGCAAATGCTGCTGCACCAGCTTCAGCAGCAGCAGCAACAGCAGCAGCAGCAACATCAGCATCAGCCGCCGTACCAACAGCACCAGCAGTTGCAGGCAACAAAATATTGCCAGCTGTAATACAAATCAAGGGTAGGTCAATTATCGATATCATATAGAGCAAATTGTAATCCAGACTCCGTTGCTCTTCAGAGAATCACAACCACAGCATTTTGAGCACTGTTGCGGATGCGGCCAATTCGAATGCCACTGATGAGATTGTCCGGCTGCCGACACCGTCCGGTCACACGGTCGCGGCCGTGAGCAGTGAGCCAACAACAAAATCGTCGCGAGTCAAACGGGCCACAGTTGTTGGCAATCCGATGTTCTCGTCCGCCGTAGATGATACGCTGGCACCGGGCGAACGTTTGGGTCTCGATGATCTCGACATGGACTACGAACAGATCATGCACTATTTCGACAACCTAAAGGTTAGTCCCCAAACATTCTTCTCCTTGTCATATAGATGGATATATGCGTATGTATTGATTGATTGATTGCAGGAGTCAAATGCCTGAGTACAGGAGATCATTGCTAAAATTCGCGAGATATTGTCAACATTTCAACAACGATATCAGAATGTCGTTACTCCCCTACCAACGCCCACGCGAAAGCAGATCCAAATGCTCGACGAGCTCGTCGCCGTTGGAGTCGATGTTGGAATTGGAGTTGAAAAGAAAGCAGCAGGAGTAGCAGGAGAAGCAGCAGCAGCAACGGGTTTGCCGCCAGAGCCATGTCTGCACAATTTTCAAATTCCAAGCAAATGCAACTAAAGGGTAACTAATACACACACACAAATACATATACACATACACACAACATATAACCGCAATTCTAGCAATCCAAAACTAAAAGAATACTCACAGCATAAAAATGAAATCCAGAGTTAAATGCGACGCTGAAAACAAGAAGAAAATTATTTATTGCCTAGGCTAAGTTCATAACATATAAAGCATATACATATATATATATGTATGTATGTATATATATATATATGAGTATGTATATGTATATACATATAAGGTGCATAATTGATGTTCATATGTCGTAACTGCTACACAAATGTCTCCTAGTCCTCATCCTTCAACATCCTTCCTTGCCAGCACAAGTGGGCAAATGTTTGTTAATCGAATACATCTAGACTTAAGAATCTATATAGGCATATATGTATGTGTATGTATATGTAAAAGAGAGCATCAAAGCATAGCTTATTCAAATTGCTTCCCAAATCTTCTTGCTTAGGCGCTTGCAATCATCCCAACTATATATATAAAACAAATCAATATATATATATAAAAACCTTAAAACTTAATCTAGTAGCAACAATTGTGCCCTCAGTGGGTGTATTTGACTGTGTGTGTGTGTGACAGAGTAAACAACAATACAACACACACACACACACACATATTTTGTACGAGATCTCGGCCATATATGCATATCTCTTATTAGAACTATGAAATGAAATCAACATTTATGCTGAAATTTTTGCATTTGTTATATGTAACTCCATTTAATTTTCTTTTGCCGAACCTATTCAGAAAAACAAAAACCACTTGTGCTGAAGAAGCGACATCAACTAGTGCTAATATATATATATATATATATGCATATGTATATGTATATGTGTAAGAGCAAGCATACTATAAATGTATTTAAAAATGGCAAAACAAGTAAACATCGCTTTATAGAACTCGATAAGTTGGCTGATTTATGGCCCCAAATATTGCAATCATAATATTATGATCATTATTATTATTATTATTATCATCATTATGATTATTATGATTATTAGAAACCCTAAGACAAAACTACACATAAATTATAATAATATGTATTAACAAAATAATATGCAAACACAAAAACAATTAAGAAAAAAAAAGAAAATTACCTAAACGAACTCGAAGAAAAGTATATAGACGCTTATGAGCTTTATTTGAACGATTGCATTAATGGACAAGCAAATAAAGTATGGAAAATGTGTAACCAAATATTATATGATATTACGGAGCGATTAAGCTTTACATATATACATATAATATAATATAAATTATAATATATTATATGTATATATAATATATATACACAATTATTATTGTCATTATATTCTGATTCATGTTTACTGTACGTATGTATGTATGTGCATATATATATGTAGACAGCAAACACATAAATCAATTAAAAAAAAAAAAAATAACAATATATGTGCTGATGCAACTAAGGAGTTATCCAAAATTTCGCTATGCATATATATAGACATATATATATATATATATATGTGCAACTCACGCTCTATACAAATTGCAATCTTATATATGTATGTGTGTATCTGTCTAACAAGCCAACTAAGCTCTGTTTCTTTTCTTTTATATATACATATATATATAAATATCATTTGACTTCTATATATCTATATATGAATAGAGATATAGCAACCCAGCAGCTAATTCATTCCATTAGCAAAAATGTTCATCATATATATATATATATATATATATTATATATCTATACATATAAAGATTATCGTTTTCTTTGTTTGTGTTTGTTTCTGTTGCCATTTTAATTTGTAGTTTTGGCATTTGTCAGGCATCTAAGTATTATTACAATTTTGTTAGATCATTAACGCATTGTTTCATAATCATATGTTGTAAATTGTTCCGTCCAACAAAAAAACAAAAAACAAAAAACGAAAAAAAAAGAAGAAATGAAAAAACAAAACAAAAAAGATAACAAAGAATAAAAGCAAACATGTAAAGCATCTTAAAGTTTCTTTGTATACAGCGGCCATAAATAACATGAAAACTAGAAACACGATTATGATTTGTATTATGAATTTGATTGTAAGACTCTGTAGTTCAATCAGCATCAATCATTTGCCATTATTCTTGCTTTGTAGTTGAAGATCTCTAGATTTGTAGCACATATTGTAAATAAGACAATATATATATGTATATGTATATGTATATGTATTGTATTATCAAATGAAACTTTGTTAACTCTCACTCGCTCACTCTCATTCGCCCTCTCCCTTTCTAATCGAATCGAATTGTGTTGAACTGAACTACAGAGTGATATATATATATATATATATCTATACATACTTATATATATGATATTTAAAATTCTTATATCACACACACACACACATCACATCACACACACTTGTCGATGTTTTTGAATTTATGTTAAGCTTAACACTAATTTTGATCTATGTATTTGAATTGTATAACTCGTAAACTCGTATCTCAAATTCTACACAAATAGACACGCAGACAGATCGCATTGCCTTGATAGCTTGCAGAGTCCCAGTGCTAGTGCTAGTGCCATATAAACGCAATCAATCATTAGTTGTAGATCGTGCATTATATCATCAATCAATCATCAATCAATCAATCAATCATTTGGGGCATGCCTAGAGCTTAACACGAGCAAACGCTTGTTCTATCTCCCTCCAAACAAAAACAAAAAACAAAAAAAACAATTAAAATACAAATTACTATAGAATGCGTAGTTATACATATAGAAGAAGATAAGCCGATTGACTGACTGAGTGAACTTGAATTTGATTGATGGTAGGCAAAAAGCCGAGCAATGATTGATGATCAATTTACATTGATTGTACAACAAATTAGCAAATTATTAACTAAACATACACACACCTACAGCACACACACACACACGCACATACACACACACACACACACACACACACACACACACACACACACACACACACACACAGGTTGTTTGTATGTGTGTGTATGTGTATCGATTCCAATGCAAAGACTTTATACATCTGTTTTATTTTATTTTTTTTTTTTTAATTTTAAATTAATTATTATTATTACTATTATTATTGATTTATATATATATGTACTTGTATTTATAATAACGAATTATTATGATTGATGGCATGATTGACACGCATCGTACATCACGTTAAGACACTTATTTCGAATTTCTAGTCAGTTAGAAGCGTACAAATCGTTTTGTTACATCATTCACAAACACACAAGCATACACATGGTATACATTATATATACATATACATTATATATGTGTATATATGTTTTTTTTTTTACATATATATATATTTATATACACGATCCAATTATATTTTGCCATGCTTTTTACCAGGCCCAAAAACTAAATTAAATATAAAAAAAAACCATACACAATCCTAAGGCTAAGCTATATATGAATGTATTTGTATGTATTATCAAAAAAAAAAAAAAAAAAAAAAAAAAAAAAAAAAAAAAATGAATTTTAAAAAGGAAAAAATTTAAAAATAAAATTTCATTTTCGGTTTTCTTCGGGTCTCTTTCGTTTTAAGCTAAACTAAAAAAAAAAAAAAAAAACGAACCATATTTATAATATAGTTAAAGCAAAAGAAAATTATATATATATATCTGCTATATATATATATATATATATAGATATAATGCAAATTCGCTTGGCACTAATATCTAAGAATTAGATAAAAACACAGATAAAAAATAAATTCCCAGCATTCACTCTCGCGCTCGCACAACTCTCACTCACTTCAGCTCCCTCACTCGGTCTCTCTAATCGTTGATCGAGAAACGATATATATCGCAATTCGTTAAGTATGTAAGTTCTATGAATGTCCCACCTGCTGTTCCACTTTCCCCACACACACACATACACACACACACACACTCCTTTTGATCGCCGCTTATTTTGCACCAGGCCTAAAGATTATACAAAATTCTGCACAGAGCGAAATAGAGAGAGAGAGAGAGAGTGGGAGAGCGAGATACGGGCAGAGAGTGAGAGTCAGAGAGGGTGAGAGACAGCAAGCGAGAAGTTTAAGAGAGCCACCGCCGCATAATTGTTAACATTGTATCAGTTATAACGTAGTTGTTGTGTATCTATTGTATGTTTGTAAGTACTCCAAGAAAAAACCAATGAAAGCTCGATTAATCGCTAATCGATGTACGATTTATCGATAATTGCCACACATTCTTGCTGTTGCATTTGGAGTTCCCATGTGTTTCCCACTTGACAAAGCTAGTGTGATATATGATTTCACTTCATTTCTCTATTTGTTCTTTTACAACACTGTGCAAACAAATACATATATATATATATATATATCTCTATACATGCAGACAAGCCCTCAATCTACACACAAGGCTTACAATATATATAGCTATATACATGACATATATGGGCATTATATATATCATATAAAACGCTTTTACAACACTGTTTGCCACTTGCCTTTCGACGCTCTCAGTTCTCCTACAAGTATTGCCGATCCCTCCTAACCGATTCCTTGTACCTCTTCAACAATATATTTCTATACGCTTCTTCTTCAACTCGATTCCGTTATCTATGTAAACCGTTAACAAAAAAAATATACTAAACAAAGTAAAGAAAATGTCGAAAATTAAAGAACTTAACTGGAAAACAAAGAAATTATAGTTGCCATGTAAAACACTTGAGTAGAGTCTATTATTATTATTATTATTATTATTATTATTATTATTATGACAATTATTATTATTATAATATTCTAAGTGGAACACAATTTTGTTTAAATTCGAAGCAAGCAACAAGACAAAGAAGAAGCAGAAGCAAACAGCAAAAAAAAAAAAGGAAAACAATGAAAAACAAAAATATTATAAATATTCAAAAACTGAAATATTAATTTAAATAAAATAATTTATTAATAAACCACATATTATGAAATGACATAAAACTTGAATGTGTTTTTCTTTCAAAATGGTCGGGGATCGTTTGATTGAGTCGATTGATTGAACAAAGCTGAAGATTGATTGTTTGATTGATGATATTGCATTCAATATAATGATGTTAATAATGATAATGATGATATGTTATGGCATAGATTGATGATCAACTGATAGACAGAATGAGAAATATATAATAGATTGTACTGCTGATTGCAGTTGTCTTGGCTTTGACTGATTGATTGATTGCTCAGCAATGCTTAACTCTAAGCTCAAGAACGAGACAGCAATAGCCCATGCTGACGTAACTGCCCAGTATCATCACACGAAATTGGTAAGAGATGAATGCATATCAGATATGTATACATATGAGCTATATCTATGCATATACATAGCATAAATCTCCCTCTTCCATAACTCACTGGCAAATGGAGTTCGACGATCTGTTTGGTTTTCCCTCTCGCTCTCAAATTCGATCGAGTGGTAAGTTCAGTTTCTTTCGACTTCTGTGCTATTTGGCTTGTATTTGTATCATATTGTTCGATGCCATGATAATTGGATTCGATCGCAGTTAATTGAGCTCGGTGAGGGAACATTTGTACGCTCCATATGCGAATAGTTGTATCAAAATTTTGCCAGTTGCCCTTATAAAGTCGTGTTCTTGAAATTTACGCAACATTTGGCGCTTCTTTTGACGCGTGATCTTGACAATTGTGACGATGGCGTCAACCTGCATCATTATATACAACAGCCACGCCCCCGTCGTTGGCTCGCCGAAGCCTCGCATTATCCGCACCCAAACCCACCCACCCACTCAGACAATCGCCGCGGCCCCCTCGAGTGGGCGAGGATCCCCATGTGAAACGTTACGTTTTTTAATAGCCTTTAACCTAATGGAATTTCAATAGAATCGGGTATATTGACAGCGTGTGTATGGGGCAAGGTATGTGAGGGAGTATGGCTATGTAGATATAGGGTTAGACATAGGGATATATATATATGTGCTAATTTTAATTTTAAGACTTGGCATAACTCAAAGGGCTTAAGAACTGGAAAGCTCCGATTCTATGTGTGAACTCGTTTAAGATTTACTCAGATTGAAGATCTTTCGTTTTCAGAACTTGAAAATTGACTTCCTTTTCCGTAAATTACTCGAAAGCCTTAAAAACTACAGAGTTCAAATTTCAAGTGTAGATTCCTTGAAGAACTCCTGAGCTACAGTTATTTTCGTATTTTGGAACTCTAAGCATAGCTCGAGAGCTTTAAAGCGTAGAGCACTAAAATTTGGTATATCTATTCTCGAAAACTAAATACGGGAAAAATCTTTTTCATTTTCTCGATAAATCGTATAATAGTAATAAGTCGAAGACATTAGCTAGAGAGCTCAATTTCCGTATGTAATGTACTTTATCATATATGTAGATCTCTTAGGAGTATTGTCAACGATAATATCGATTTCTATTCTTCTGGTAATCATAATCGGGAACTCGCCACATCCAAATATCTAGGGTATCTGCAAGCTGGGCAGTCTCAGCTGGAGCGCTCTGACTTGTTTTAAAGTGCGTTTCACGTTTTAATTCCAATTGTAAGAACTTCCAATTTGAGCGATAGACCGACATTTTGCCACACCAAGATCTAGCTGTAACTGATGTCTGCGGATGTCTATGTGTGTCTGTCTGTCTGTCTTGACTTTCATTTCAGTTTCAGTTCCAGCTGTGTGATACGATGTGATGTGATGTGATGGGCCAACGAAGCGTATAAAAGCTTGGCGAAGATGCTTCAACGTTTCAGTTGCTTTCAAAAATTCGCGCGCTCCTCAACTGAGATACGATTTGAATTTTGTTGTTGTTGTGTTTTTTTTTTTTTGGTTGTTGTTGTTGGATTTATAATCGATTCACGCACGGAATAATAATGTCCTATCTCGGCAACGCATCGGACGTGGAGTGTGAAAAGAACGAGTTCCCCAGGCCCCGCCCCACGGGCATCGTCACCAAAATGGCCGCCCACAAACTGTCGTCGGAGCCGAAGTGGGCCGACAAACGGGAGGATGATTCCGATTCCGAAGTCTCGTCGCCCGACAATTTCCTCACCAAAGGTGAACTAAGAATTGACAAGCGATTACCGTTAGAAGTCACAAATATGAAAAGAAGGGTTGATATCATATGCCTATATCAGCAAATACATACGTGTATAGTCCATAATATAACTCCTATACGGACAATCTTGAGGCTTCAGAGGCCGTTTATACATATCGTATAACATATATACTTTTATAGAACGGACTCTTATATAACTATAAAAGTGATATATATAATTTGGAAATATAGTTTGTAGCAAAAGTTTTTACCTCTAAACGATCAAAGGAGAGCTAACCTCAAACTAACTTCTGAGAGAATCGCATGATGTATCGAATTTCCTACAGCATGCTCTGTCGTATATACATAATACACAATATAATATCTTAATATCCAACTAAATCTTTTGAAAGATCGGCGTAAACTCTCTCAATTCCGAATTCAAACTGAAAGCTAACCTCAAATTCTGAATCTTTACATTAGAAATATTGCATGGTTACAGTTCTTTATACAATATCCACATTCATATCCACCGCTCATATTCATATCCATATTTATATCTATATTCACATCAATATTCATGCCCATATCAATAACGGTACTAACTGCATCGTAACTGCATTGCAGGAGCATTTCTATTGACACCATCGTATGAACTATCCATGGAACGAGCCGCATTGATATGCGAGAAGATGAGTTTCAAGGGTTGCTTCAGCTTGACCAAAACGGCAACTGGAATTCTATTTAAATTCTCACATCCAGATGATTATCAGGCGGTGTTCAAGAAGGGATTCCACAAGGTGACCGGAGCGCGCTTCTATCGGAAAGTAAGTGAAAGACCAAATACTCTTGCTTATGCCTAAATATGTAGATATCATATGTATAGCTATCTCTCTCGCACTCACTCTATCTCACACACAATCACTCTCTCTCTCTCACTCTCTCTCTGTCTTTTTATAGCGAAATAGTTCATTTGTATATACACTCTACCTCCCTGACTCCCTCAAGAAAAAGAAAGTCTTATATATGATAAAATTCTCCCTCATAGCTTATCTCGGTCTGTGTCTTTCTCACTTGCTATCATTCTCTCTCTGCTTCTATCTCTCTCTCTATCTTTCTCTCTCTCTCTCTCTCTCTCTCTCTCTCTCTCTCTCTCTCTCTCTCTC